CAACTGCCAACGCCAGAAAAGCAGGGGCCTGAACATATCGACCCAGTGAGTACGCAACAAAACGTCGATGTCACCAAAGAAATGGTACAAGAAAATGTATGCGATACAGAACAATCAACACTTGCGGGTTTATTTAACAAACTATTAAAAAACGTGTTGTGTATGCACACGCATCGCCAATGGACACACGTGATGATGAACTTGTATTGGACGAAAAAACAGGTGAACAAAATACCAGATGACATCATAGTTGCAAATGACGACGATACAGATTCAGAAATCGATGAAAATCAAGCTGAGAATGACGATTTTTTAGAGCAACGTTACCCACCTGTACTCGATAGCGACATTGAAATTGAATCAGACACAGAAATTGGTGCTACATTCAATTATGTTGCCTCTGGCACTGGTGAATGGAGAATGGCAACGGAGGAAGACGGCGATATATTTACTATTCCAGTTTTTGAACACGAACCTGGACCAACTTTCGAACTGCCTTCATATGCTCGTGAGGTGGAATATTTCTACAAATTTATCCCACCAGAACTGATAGAACTGGCTTCCATCGAGACCAATAAATACGCCAAATATCATCAAAAACACATTGCAAAAAAATTAAATGCCCGCTGGCGTAATACAAATTTCAGTGAAATGCAAGCATTCTTTGGTGTGATGATATGTATGGGTGTTGATCACAAATCAGCAATCGACGATTATTGGTCGAGTGACCCCTTTCTGCAGAATATGGGAATTGCGTCAGTAATGACTCAGGCCAGATTTCAAATGCTAATGCGTTATTTTCATTTAGCTGATCCAGTTAATGACCCACGGCGGGATCCTGACATTGAACGTCGTCGTCAACAATCGGAGGCTGACCCGTTGTATAAAATCAACCCGTGGCTGAAACCCGTACTCGAAAATTGTCAGCGATACTACCAGATGGGACAGGAAATTTCGATTGATGAGGGTATGATTAGATTCAAGGGACGGTCCAAGTTTAAGCAGAGATTGCCCCACAAACCCGACCGTGATGGCTTCAAAATATGGCAGGTGTGCGACTCGACAACGTCCTACATTGCAAACTTTGAACCATATTTGGGGATGAAATATAAAACTACAATTGAGGGGAGAAGGAAAGAAACTGGGACAATCAAGAAGACAACACACTGGTTGCTACAGCCCTTCACAGAAAAAAACCATATTCTTTTCTGTGATTCGCTTTTTACGTCAGTTAACACAGCCCTTGAATTACAAGACAAAAAAGTGTACATGGTCAGTAGTTTTAGCAGACGAAACCGGAAAACCATGCCTCTGCAATTAATTCCTGAGAGAAAAAGCAAGAAGCTGAAATTGAAAATTGGTGAAATGAAAGCAGCAACTAGACCGAACGACACTATCAATATTACTGCATACCAGGATGACAGCGCGCAAATATTGATTTTAAATACAGTCTATCCCCCACAGGCTACGTCGGCAGAAGCAGTAGATGACGAGAGACGCGTGCCTGTATAGTTACAATGTTACAGACATCACATGGGTGGTATGGATCGTTCTAACCAAAGGCGAAAATACTATCACACGGGCAGAAAAAACAATCGTTGGTGGATCTACATGGCCTGTTAACTCATAGATGTTGCATTGGTCAATGTTTATGAATGTTTCAAGGCATTGAATCGCATGAATAAAGTAACTCACAAATTCTTCAATATCCGCACAGGTAAACAACTGATTG